AAATGGGGTCTCACAGGCCAGGCGCGGTGGCTCACAACTGTAATCCCAGTACTTTAGGAGGCTGAAGTGGTGGATCACCTGAGGTCGGGAGTTCGAGACCAGCCTGACCAACATGGAGAAACCCCGTCTCTACTAAAATTACAAAAAAATTTAGCCAGGCATGGTGGCACATGCCTGTAATCCCAGTTACTTGGGAGGCTGAGGCAGGAGAATTGCTTCAACCTTGGAGGCGGAGGCTGTGGTGAGCCGAGATCATGCCATTGCACTCCAGCCTGGGCAACAAGAGCGAAACTCGGTCTCAAAAAAAAAAAAGAAAAAAGAAATGAGGTCTCACCATGTTGCCCAGGCTGGTCTCGAACTCCTAAGCTCATGTGGTCCTCCTGCCTCAGCCTCCCAAAGTGCTGGGATTACAGGTGTAAGCCACTGCACTCAACCTAAAAACAATTTTTTAAAAAGGAATAAAATACCAAAATGATAAAACAATCTATATCTATTAGCATGAAGCTTAGAAGAATAAGCATCTAACTCTTCACAGTGGTCATCTAGGAGAACATTAGTAGGAAAAGGAGCAACTTTTTTTCTATTTCTATTTCTATACTGTTTGGATTTTGATCATAAAAATGTACTAACATTTTTAAATTTTTAATAATTCCATTGGATATAACTTTTAAGTTAATCTCCAGGTACTAACAGACGTAAGTCCTCAAGCTACCTTAAAAATAAAGTTTTGCCGAGCGCAGTGGCTCACACCTGTAATCCCAGAACTTTGGGAGGCCGAAGCAGGATTGCTTGACCTCAGGAGATGGAGACTAGCCTGGGCAAAAAAAAATTAAAAATTAGACTAGATGTAGCTTCTCTATTCCCTCTCAAATCTCTGCCTGGTTTGGACCATCTGCCTCCACTCTTGCCCCTACCATGTTCACCAGGGTGACCCAGAAGTCCTACAAGGTATCCGTCTCTGGTCCCTGGGTCTTCAGCAGCTGCTTCTACATGAGTAGGCCCAGTACCCGCATTAGCTCCTCAAGGCTCTCCCGAGTGGATAGCAGCAGTGCTTCTGGGGTGGTCTGGGTGCCGGCCCGGGTCTGAGTGGAGGCTATAGTGGGGCCAGTGGTAATGGGGAGCATCACAGCCATCATGGTGAACCAGAGCCTGCTGAGCCCCCTCAAGCTGGAGGTGTAACCCAACACCCAGGCCATGTGTACCCAGGAGAAAGAGCAGATCAAGACCCTTATCAGTAAGTCTGCCTCCATCACTGACACGATACAGCTCCTGGAGCAGCAGAACAAGATGCTGGAGAGCAAGTGTAGTCTCCAGCAGCAGCAGAAGACAGCGTGGAGCAACACGGACAACATGCTCGAGAGCTGTATCAACCACCTTCGGCAGCAGCTGTACATTCTGGGCCAGGAGCAGCTGAAGCTGGAGGCAGAGCTTGGCAACATGGAGGGGCTGCTGGAGGACTTCAAGAATAAGCATGAGGATGAGATCAGTAAGTGTACAGAGATGGACAATGAATTTGTCTTCAAGAAGTTTATGGATAAAGCTTACATGAACAATGTAGAGCTGGAGTCTTGCATGGAAGGGCTGACTGATGAGATCAACTTCATCAGGCAGCTGTATGAAGAGGAGATCCAGGAGCTGCAGTCCCAGATCTTGGACACATCTGTGGTTCTGTCTATGGACAACAGCCACTCCATGGACACAGACAGCATCATCACTGAGGTCAAGGACCAGTACAAGATTGCCAACCGCAGTTGGGCGGAGGCTGAAAACATATACCAGATCAAGTACAAGGAACTGCAGACACTGGCTGGGAAGCATGAGGATGATGTGTCGCACAAAGACGAAAATCTCGGAGATGAACCAGAATATCAGCTGGCTCCAGGCTGAGACTGAAAGCCTCAAAGGCCAGAAGACTTCCCTGGAGGCTGCCATCATGAACGCCAAGCATCATGGGGAGCCTCCATTAAGGACAGCAATGCAGCTGGGTGCAGTGGCTCACATCTGTTAATCCCAGTACTTTGGGAGGCCAAGGCAGATAGACTGATTGAGGCCAGGAGTTTCAGACCAGCCTGGGCAACATAGCGAAGTCCCCTCTCTACCAAAAATACAAAAATTAACTAGTCTTATAACCCAGTCTCAAAAAAATAAATATTTAAAACTAAATTTTTTTTTTTTAAAAGACAAGCTGGCGTACCAGGAGCTGAGGAATGTCAAGCTGGCCCTGGACACAGAGGCTGCCACCTACATGAAGCTGCTGGAGGGCAACAAGAGCAGGCTGGAGTCTGGGATGTAGAACATAAGTATATATATAAAGACCACCAGTGGCTACTCAGGTACACTGAGCTTGGCCTACGGGGCCTCACAAGCCCTGGCCTTAGCTATGGCTAGGTTCCAGCTTTGACTCTGGCAGGGGCTCTAGCTCCTCTAGCCGCACCAGCTTCTCCAGGGTTCCTCCAGTGCTGTGGTTGTGAAGAAAATAGAGATGCAAGATGGGAAGCTGGTGTCCGAGTCCTCTGATGTCCTGTCCAAGTAAATGGCCATGGCAGCCCCTCCCAGCCCATCCCTTCCTGTGGATGCCCCAGAGCCAGTGGAAGAGGCCACTGTGCAAGGGAGCATAGGAAACAGGAGTGAACATAGCCTCGCCTAAGTGAGGCTCAGTCCTAGCCCTCAACCCAGTCATGGAGTTTATTGCCTGGGGTACCCCCCTGGCCCATGACTCCAGCTATAAAACAATTTGTTTTTGTTTTTGTTTTTTTCCAAAATAAAGCCTTAACTACCTCTGCCATTTAAAAAAAAAATTGCCAGGCTTGGTGGTGTGTGCCTGTGGTCCCAGCTACTCAGGGGGCTGAAGTGGGAGAATAGCTTGAGCCCAGGAGGTCAAGATCACAGTCAACTATGATTGTGGCACTGCACTCCAGCCTGGGCAACAGAGCAAGACTCTGTCTCAACAATAAAGTTCAAACAAGCATTTCCTCACAAAAGCATGCATCAGTAGATAGTTAAGGAAAATGCCTGTGTTACCCAGTTAACCTGAGATGCTACTAGGCTTACTTACCCCACCATGACACTTTCCGGCCCATAATGCCTTAATCCAAATTAGAGGTACACTCTCTAATCCTGAAACTGTTGACAAGTGTGATATGACAAGAGTTGGTACCCCAAAGCACAATATCCTATTATTTTCAAACTTTTCCTTCTCCCTACCTGCTACTAATTGACCACCAGGCCTACATCAGCACTTTTCTTTCAGAGCCTGATTCTCTATTCCTCCCACCCCCACTTCAAGAATGCTATGAGGGTTAGGGGTGTCTATCACGACCCCCTCAGCAACCAACAGCCGTTCTAGAAAAGCTGACATAACCCACGGCTGCCAACAAGAGCAGCTTCCCAGCAGGATGTTTTAGTAACCTTAATGAGGCAGAGAGCAACGCCTCCCGTAAATTCTGGTTGGAAGAAACGATCTAGAGATGGTGGAAAAGTACAACTTAAAAAGCAAACACCACAGGCTCCAGTAGAGCAGGAAAGCAAGCAGGGATTTCTAAATACAGACCTCAATTGTAAGAGTTCGCTGTACCTTAATTCTCACTATCATCATTTGCTCTGTCAAAAATAGAACCTTCCATGTCTTGATCCATTCAGAATAAGCCACAGCAGGCACAGCTCTGCTTCCACAGGGCAGCCAGGTCAGAAAGGCCACACAGGGAAATGGAAAAGGCAGCCAGCAGGTTTTCTTAGAGATTATACTCCTCTGGGCTTTTATCCTTCTTCCCAGCTATTCTGGTGCCAAGAAGGCTGCAGGGAGGTCTTTGCTCTGCTCTGAAAAAGCTTCAACTCAATCTTTTCACCAGCAGGGCTGAAGCAGTCTCAGGGCTGTAACTCCCTCTGCTGCCCAATGTTTTCTTTGCATGTTGTGATCAGTTTAATTAATTTCAAACTCAAACGTTAAAAGAACTAATGCAGCCCCTTATTTCAAAATATAATCGAAAGAGCATGAGTTCAGACAGGAGGAATATAGATGGAATGCACGGTTCAAAGCTGTATACACTTCTGCATTCACCTACAAATCTCCTTTATCTCAGAAAGGATTTCTTTTATTCAGTTTCATGAACTGAACTTCACAGGCATGTAGAAAAGTAGGAGCCAGACTTCTTGGTCCTTCCTCATCCATCCTTAATAACAGCATTGCCTTTAGCAGAACTTAAGGCAGGCCTTATTCACCTTTCAAGATCCAATTTAAATAGTACTTAGGATGAGGCATTAAAACTACCTGTTTACCAGTCTGTTTCACTGTACTGATTCAACACTGTGTCTAGCTAACAGCATATGCTCACTATCTATCTAACAGAATTCTAACTAGAACCATGTGCAATATTGGGGGAAGGGAAACCTGCCCACGTAAGAATTCAACCAGAAATCACTGGGGGAAGAACCAAAATTCTTAAGAGATAAGAATAAGAGACAGGTGTGTTTCTCTAATATACCATTATTCTGCCTAACAATTTACCTACCAGCTGTGCTTGTGGTCCTTTTCAGATTACCAATCTCAGTCTCTTTCCTGTAAACTCTTAACTCATTTTTAAAGTACTTGAAAGGCACTTCATTCTTTGCCTATACCCAAATACTTCTCACATTCTGATCTTAGTGATAAAATTCACAAAGACCTCACAGTGACTCAGTTACAGTGTTGAGCAATACTGACCCAATTAAATAACGTACCCAACCTATTTAGGTTAGAAACTCTGGTATTCCAGCATCCAGAACCAGAAGTGATGAAGACATTTATTAGTGCAATAACCCCAATTTATTTTTGTGAACCCTCCCCTTCTCCACCTCCCAATACTGGAAGCTTACCTGTCAGGCAGAATTCCTAATCTGCCTCAAAATCTACAGGTCCAAGCTCTGCGAATACCAAGTGCTCAAGGCAACTGCCACCCTTCAGAAAACTAAGGTAAATACCAACAACGAACGGTGTGTGTAAAAAGTCTCTACTGATGAACAGGAAGAAGCAATGTAAATTTTTAAATACAAACAATCCCACAGCATTTATTGCCATCTTGTATAACACAAGGGTAATCAAAACAATATGAATAAATGTTCATATTAGACAAAGGACATCTAAAAACAAACTGTATTCTTCTCAACAATTTCTCACTTCATTGATCATTTCTAGTTGGAGACACTTTGTAGCAGAGTAATATTATCTCCTTTCAGCATGATCCGACCTGCAACACAAAAACAACAAAAGGCTATTAATAGCCACACACTCAGATGTTTTACTCTCAGAATTTTGTATCCAGTTTTTGAACAACATTTTGAAAATGCTTTCTTATAAAAACACGTAAACATTTTCAAGTGTCCATAGAGTGAAATATGCTTTCTGGCTCCATTAGAATACATTTACCTTTTCTACAAACTAACAAAGGTAGATGATATTTCATGACAAGCATCATTTCTATGAACTAAGTCAACTCAATAGGCCTCATACAACATTTCCCAATGCTGAGTTTGTAAAAGTTTGGAAATGAGTCGTATGTCAAGTTTGGGAAATATAGCATATTATAACTCCATTCTTAAAGCTGTTAGTATATTAAAGACTCCACCCTATCTCTACTAAAAATACAAAATTAGTTGGGCGTGGTGCCGTGTGCCTGTAATCCCAGCTACTTGCGAGGCTGAGGCAGGAGAATCGCTTGAACCTGGGAGGCGGTGGTTGCAGTGAGCCGAGATCGCACCATTGCACGCCAGCCTGGGCAACAAGAGCAAAACTCTGTCTCAAAAAAAAAAAAAAAACCAAAATCCACCCTACAATAAACAAACCTGTTTAAGTTTTACCCAAACTTTCCTAAGGTTATTTAAGACGATACATTTCTAAGAAATCTACAAACATCCTCAGGAACACTGGTGTTCACTGGCAGAACAGTTTGAGACATGTTGATCAACTCCAACAGCAATTAAACTGTTCTACTTTCCCAGGCTTCTGCAGGTATTAATAATATTCTATTCTACAGGATGAATACTACCATGAGAATTCAACAGTTGGTAAATAATTTTTTTTTTTTTTTTTTTTTTTTTTTTTTTTGAGACGGAGTCTCGCTGTGCTCCCAGGCTGGAGTGCAGTGGCGTGATCTCGGCTCACTGCAAGCTCCGCCTCCCGGGTTCACGCCATTCTCCCGCCTCAGCCTCCCAAGTAGCTGAGACTACAGGCGCCCGTCACCACGCCCGGCTAGTTTTTTGTATTTTTAGTAAAGACGGGGTTTCACCATGTTAGCCAGGATAGTCTCGATCTCCTGACCTCGTGATCCACCCGCCTCGGCCTCCCAAAGTGCTGGGATTACAGGCTTGAGCCACCGCGCCCGGCCAAATAATTTATAAATAATATGACCTCGGTGAGGCTAAGCCTGCCCTTCCTGGCAAGACATCTTAAAATCTGAAAAATCCAGCTGGGTATGGTGGCTCATGCCTATAATCCCAGCACTTTGGGAGGCCAAGGTGGGCGGAATGCCTGAGCTTAGGAGTTTGAGACCAGCCTGGACAACACAGTGAAACCCCGTCTTCTACTAAAATATAAAAAAATCAGCCAAGTGTGGCGGCATGCACCTGTAATCCCAGTTACTTAGGAGGCTGAGGCAGGAGAATCACTTGAACCCATGAGGTGGAAGTTGTAGTGAGCCGAGATTGTGCCATGGCACTCAAGCCTGGGAGACAAAGCAAGACTCCGTCTCCAAAAAAATAAATAAATAAATCTAAAAAACCCAGGTTTTCATAAAAATAGTGTAAACAGGAAGAAGTTAGCGAAACACCATACTGCTTCTCAGAATCTACTTTCCACATATCTAGTACAGGTTCATGAGAATCCTGAGGGTCTGAGAGACACCTGAAACCCACCACTGATAAAAGTATTAGTGAGCATTTAACAAATGAAGACAAAATGCCTAAATAAACCTCAAGTGAATGGGATGTTAATAGAAATGATTCAGTGTGTCTTGAAACCGTGAATACTAAGACCATTCATTAACTGGGTTAAGAAATACCGTTCATTGCCAGGCTTAGTGGCTCACACATGTAATCCCAGCATTTGGGAGGCCAAGGCAGGTGGACTGCCTGAGCTCAGAAGTTAGAGACCAGCCTGGGCAACACAGTGAAACCCCATCTCTACTAAAACACAAAAAATCAGCCAGGCGCGGTGGTGCATGCCTGTAGTCCCAGCTACTCGGGAGTCTGAGGCAGCAGAATTGCTTAAACCCAGGAGGCGGAGGTTGCAGTGAGCCAAGATCGTATCATTACATTCCAGCCTGGGCAACAGAGAGAGACTCCGTCTCCAAAAACAAAAGAAAGAAATACCATTCATTATTCAAGTATTTTTTAGTTTCTATTATGCGCCAGGCATTGAATTAGGTACTGAGCACACTAGGGATCAAAAAAAGGCATGATTCATGCACTTATGGTGAAGCATCTCATAACAGGAGAGACATTAATAAAACAATTTCAATAATAAATGTTTTACTACAAACTCAGGGAGCACATAACCCCGCCTCCCCCATCCCCAGCAAAATCAAATTAAACTCTGAACTTTTTAGAACAGGGCTTCCTAACCCCTGGGCCACAGACCAGTACCAGTCCTGGTCCCTGTTAGAAACCAGGTCACACAGCAAGTGAGCAGTGGGCAAGGTGGCAGAGCTTCATCTGTATTTACAGCCACTCCACATCACTAGTATTCCTGCCTGGGCTCTGCCTCCTGTCAGATCAGCGGAGGCCTTAGATTCTCATAGGAGCATGAAACCTATTGTGAACAGGGCATAGAGGGATCTAGGTTGCGCACTCCTTATGAGAACCTAATGCCTGATGATCTGTCACTGTCTCCCATCACCCCCAGATGGGACTGTCTAGTTGTGGGAAAATAAGCTCAGGGCTCACACTGATTCTACATGATGGTGAGTTGTATCATTATTTTATTAAATATTACAATGTAATAATAATAGAAATAAAGTGCACCATAAATGTAATGTGCTTGAATCATCCGAAAACCATCCCCCACACTCCGGTCCATAGAAAAACTGTCTTCCACAAAACTGGTCTCTGGTGCCAAAATGGTTGGGGATCACTTTCTTAAGAGAACTGATATTTGATCTGAGCTCTAAAGACACAAGGAATATCATATACAAAGATTAATGGTTGGGCAAATGCACAGACTCAAAGAACTGAAATAAGACAAGTGTTGCTAAAGCTCAGAAAGTAAGGCACATTGATATGAGATGAGCAGAGGGAGATAAAACTAGATCATAAAGATCATTAGATTTGCAGAATCATTAGATTTTTTTTATCCTAAGAGCAACAGGAAGTCACTGAAGAATTTCAAGCAAAGGGATGACATGTTCAGATTGGTGTTTTTAAAAGATGACTGAGGCCTGGAAAGCAAACTGGAGGTAGCTGCAGAGAAATCAATTAGTAAGCTGAATTGGAAACTGGTGCCATTCAATAAGGCGGGAAATAATAATACAATAGCTCTGAACAGTGTGAGTTGGAATTGAGTTTGCTTTCTGATATGCTGACTTTAAGAAGCCTTTGAAACATTCAAGTAGAAATGGTGAATAGGCCCAGACTTGGGAGTCCCAAATTTGGGAGTCAATATACATAGATGGTAATTGAAGCTGTACTCCAGTGCCTAGGCAGACAATACTGAATGACAGGAGGGCCTAGAACCAAGCCTGGAGCAACTCATTTAGTGACTGGGTCCCAAAGAATGAACATACAAGTCTGAAAAATAGCCAGAAATGAAAAATTAAAACCCAAGTATAATATCGTAGAGCCAAGGTGTGATACTGCAAAATATTTATTTGGTCTTCAATCCCATACAACTCCTAAAATCCTCAGAATCTCTAAGGTGTTGCCTTTTTGTATGCTAATGATTGACTGACCACCAGCAGCCCCTGCAAAGTTTCAGCACTGGAGCTGCTCACTGAAAAGACCAAGGCATTAGTGAGGTCAGACTTTCAGCCCCACCCTCCAACCCAGGGAGGAGAAGAGGAGCTGAAGGTTAAGCTGATCACCAATAGCCAATTTATTCAGTCAGGCCTACATAATGAAGCTTACATAAAAACTGAAAACAATGGGTTTCTGACAGCTCAACACATGGAGGTTCCCAGAGAGCAGTGAGCTTGTAGAGGGCACAAAAGCTTCGCATCCCTTCCTATATGTCTTGCCCTGTGCATCTCTTCATCTGTATTCTTTGTAATATCCTTTATAATAAACCAGTAAATATAAGTGTTTCCCTGAGTTCTGTGAGCTGCTCTAGCAAATTAATTAAACCAAAGGAGGGGTTATGGGACCCAGTTTACAGCCAGTCAGTAAGAAGAACAGGTAAAACAATCTGGAGCTGACAATTGGCATCTGGTGGAGCATCGAGGGGCAGGGAAGGCAATCTTGGGGATTGAGCCCTCAACCTCTGGGAACTGACACTATCTCCAGGTAGATAGTATTAGAACTCAACTGAACTTGACGACTCCGAGCTGACGTCCACTGCCGAACTGACTGCTTGCTTGGTGTGTGGGGAAATATGCCCACACATCTGGTCACAGAAGTCTTCTGTGTTAATTATTGTCAACTGAGGAAATAGAAAAATCTACTTGGGTTTTCCCCCCCACTCAGACAAGGGAACAAAGCGCTTTAAGGAGGGAGTGGCCAATGGTGCCAAATGCTGTTGAGAGTTTAATTAAAATGAGGACTAGTACTGATCATTAGATTTAACACCACTAGTCTTTGGTTCCCTTGGTGAGAGCTCTCTGGGCAGAGAAGCCAAAATGGAGTGTGGTGAGAAGTGAGTGGTAGAGAATAATTTCAAAAGTGTACTACTACTCTGAATAATAACTTCTCAAATGCAAAGTAAAATCAAACATGAACTGAGTTGCAGGTCACTGAATTCTGCAAGTGAACAAAACATTTCTACGATTCTGTAAGACCACTTATATCCTTACCCAGTTGTTTTCTTGACTTTGTTTTAGAATGAATCTCTTCTGCATCATCTAATACAAGGTTCATATATTCATCAAAACCCTAGAAAAATAAACAAACTGTCATCGTCAAAGAAAATCACATCCAACCCATTTTAAATGTGTATACCTATGCAGATACAAAATCCAACTAACTTCAAAGATTCACTCATCTCAAGCCCTGCACTCCACCTTCCACCCAAAGTCTTTTTTCTTTTTTTTGAGAAAGGATCTCACTTTGTCTCCCAGGCTAGAATGCAGTGGTGTGACCTCGGCTCACTGCAGCTCGACCTCCTGGGTTCAAGCAATACTGCTGCCTCAGCCCCACCAAGTAACTGGGACTACAGGGCGCACCACCGTGCCTGGCTACTTTCTGTATTTCTGGTAGAAACAGGGTTTCATCATGTTGCCCAGGCTGGTCTCGAACTCCGGAGCTAAAGTGATTCATCATGCTCGGCCTCCCAAAGTGCTAGGATTACAGACGTGAGCCACCGTGCCCAGCAAAATATTTAAAAATTAGCTGGACATGGTAGTGCATGCCTATAGTCCCAGCTACTAGAGGCTGAGGTGGAAGAATCACTTGAGCCAAGGAGTTCAAGATTGTAGTGAGCTCTGACAGCACCTGGGTGACAAAGCAAGATCCCAACTTAAAAAAAAAAAATTACTTAGGGTAGCCTGCTATCCCTATTTAACCCCACTGAGCTCTATTCAGGTATCACCTAACCCACAACAAACAATTCCATTAGACCCCACCCTTCCTAATTTCCTTTCTTTTGTCCCCTCTCTCCATACTAACATCGTTGCTCAAATATTTTTTTTTCAAATAATTTTTAAAAGTTAATTTTCAGCCAGGCATCGTGGCTCATGCCTGTAATCCCAAGACTTTGAGAGGCTGAGGTGGGAGAATCACCTGAGCCCAGGAGACCAGCCTGGACAACAATGTGAGACCTCGTCTCTATAAAAAATAAAAATTTAGCAGGCTGTGACGGTGCACACTTTTGGTCCTAGCTACTTGGAAGGCTGAGGCAGGAGGACTGCTTGAGCCCAGGAGGTTGAGGCCACAACGAGCCATGACTGTGCCACTGCACTCCAGCCTAAGCAACGGAACAAGGCCCTTTCTCAAAAATAAAATACAAATTTTCTTCTCAACACAGACAGAGGAAAGAAAATGAATTAAAAGTTAATTTTCCCTATTAAAAATTACCCAATCCTTACCTATCAACAATGAAAAAAGGCTAAATAGCGGCCCCCAAAAAACTTTGCTTAGGTTGGATCTTTCACTTTTTATACACTGTTCTGGCTAGCCACTTTCTAAGAAATCTTTTTCTATGACCAAACTGCTATGAGATAAAATTGCCTGGATACTCACAATGATACAGCCTTCTATCCGCATATTCACTTGCTCATAGAGCCACACCTGAATCCGCGATCTCTGAAATAATCATAAAAGTGGAAACGTTAAAAAAAGAAAAATGGGGCCGGGCGCAGCGACTCATGCCTGTAATCCCAGCACTTGGGGAGGCCCAGGCAGGTGGATCACAAGGTCAAGAGATAGAGAGCATCCTGGCTAACATGGTGAAGCCCCATCTCTACTAAAAATACAAAAAAAATTAGCTGGGCGTGGTAGCACACGCCTGTAGTACCAGTTATCAGGAGGCTGAAGCAGGGGAATCACTTGAACCCGGGAGGCGGAAACTGCAGTGAGCCGAGATTGAGCCACTACACTCCAGCCTGGGGGACAGAGTGAGACTCCGTCTTAAAAAAAAAAGAAAAGAAAAGAAAAGAAAAAAAAGAAAAAGAAAAACAGGCCAGCTGCCTCGATTCACACCTGTAATTCCAGTATTTTGGGATGCCAAAGCAGAATAATTCGCTTTGTGGCCAGGTGTTCAAGATTAGCCTGTGCAACATTAAGCAAGATCTTGCCCCCTCCCCCGCCCCCCTCCCAAAATTGAAGTACACAAAACCTAACCATTTTGGTCAAACGACAAGAGAAATACGGCTCCCAAAAAAAACTGTAATGAATGTAAGTCAAGAGTTTTAACTAATTAGCCCATATCTAAGAATTATTCACCAGTAATAATAATCTCAAAGAGAATTTTCATTTAATAAGTTCTATATTGGAACTATATAACCTAATAATTTTCCTGTGATCTTGGGACTCAACATTTCTTACTGCTTCTGGTTTCAATCTATTTAAGAGTGAAAGTTTTTGACAGCATAGCACAAAGCAGCAATTTCTAATGACCAAGGGCTTATATCTTGCAGCAAAATCCAGTTCCAAAACAAAGCTTTCTCATGTCACACACCTACCAACCAGGACAGGAGCCCTCAATTCAGGTGGTTAAAAATTATTATCACCTGAAATTAATGTTTTTCAGTTGTGTTGTCACACTATAAAATTTAAGTTGCTAAAGTTCCCCCCAAAGGAAAGCAGCTGCCACCAAATTCCTCTGAAGCTACCCCTTCTTTCTTTTTCCGTCTTTAAGTTTTCCAACAGATATTAAACACACCACCTCTTGACATGGTTTAAGTTGGTTGGGTTTTTCTTCCAATGTGTTTCATCTTAAAGGGGAGAGGTTCCAACGTTCTAGGCATAATCACTACTAACAAAACTACTGATGCCCAAATACCATGCTCAAGTCTGCTGATAATACTTTTTGGAATTAAAAAGTATTTTTGATCTTGCAAAGTAATAATACAATTCTTTGCATGTTGGGAAGTGGCATGGATACACACCACTTCACCACATTAGTGCTTTCTCAGTACTCCTTCCCCTCGATTACCCTTCAATCTCCAGTTACATCTATTTTTAAATTCTAGAACACAGCGATCACTCAGGTTAACACAAAAAACTAAATCAGTTCATCTATTTAAAAAATAGTTACGAAACAAGCAACTTACGTACATTTTGTAAGTATCTGAAGATGAGGTTCTGCACCACAGTGGCTAAGGAAAAAATACAAAAGCAGCATAGACTCTGCTTCCTGAAACAACTGGACGACCCTGTTCCCGTCTCACCTTGGTATACTGAACGCGAGGTCTGGTGCTTACGCAAACAAAAAGTGCCCAGCTGGGCATTCATTAGGGGTCTTCTAAAGATTAAAGAACATCCCTTCCACTTTCATTCCCCTGGAGTTTCCCGAAACCTTTAACTCCCATTTTCACTCCGCACCTAAAGTTCTCTTCCTTCCTTTCGCCGCCTCCATTCCTGCATTGCCCCACGGCAGGGGTCCACCCAAGACCACCTCCCCACCATCACGGTTCTTCAACTACCCGCGCTTTCTTCCAGTCTTGGTCGCCCCGGGGGCTCATGGGATGTGGATTCGTACTCCGCTACCCCAGGCCTCAGGCTCTCAGTCTGCGCCTTCGCACCCCGTATTCTGGCCCGAACCTCCCAGTCCTGACATCCTGCGTAGGATACGATGGGCTGCACCATAACCTTCTGCACTTTCTGGCCCTGGCCACGGTACGCCATGGTGAAATTTCACAAAGAGCACAACCTCACGCCGCCTCTGAGAGCAATTTCCGGAATAAAGAACCGGAAGCGGAAGTATGTGAAGGTTACGCGACGACATGGGCGTCTCCTAGGAAATGCCCCTCTAGCCACGAAGTCATGTTTCTCCGCTGCATGGCCTCCGAGGGAGGCCAAACTGAGGCGTCTGCGCTGTGGAAGGTGGACCGGTCCTAAAGCGCCACCTGGAGGCAGGCGGGAGGAGGTGCCTTCGGTTGCCATGTCTCCAATTTCTTTTCTTTTCTTTTTTTTTTCTTTTGAGGCGAAGTCTCGCTCTCTCGCCCAGGCTAGAGTGCAGTGGCGCGATCTCAGCTCACTGCAACCTCTGCCTCCCGGGTTCAAGCGATTCTCCTGCCTCAGCCTCCCAAGTAGGTGGGACTACAGGCGCGTGCCACCACGTCCTACTAATTTTTTGTATTGTTGGTAGAGACGGGGTTTCACCATGTTGGCCAGGATGGTCTCGATCTCCTGACCTCAAGATTCGCCCGCCTCGGCCTCCCAAAGTGCTGGGATTACAGGCGTGAGACACTGCGCCCAGCCCGTATCTCCATTTTCTGAGTTAGCTTAAAAAGCCAAAATCGTCCCACTGTGTATCTCTGTGTGTAAAGTGAGTTAATTTCGTGCCTTTCCTAAAAGTTTAGGCTTGATAACAGCGTTGTGGTGGACAGGGTAGGGCGGCAAGAATCCCAAACTTCAGGCCTCCCGCCTCTGGCAGTCGGCCAGGGGCGGTCTGCATTCCAAAGCCAGACGGCTGGTTCGCTCCAGTTACGGATTCAGCTCAGCCACTTCGTGGAGCAAGTTTACTGTTCAGGTGGCAACTGAGGGTGGCGATCTACCATGAAGACGCTGAAATCTACATGCTGGGCGCAAATCCAGCTCTTTTAGAGTTGGGTGACAAAGGATAAATTACTCAGCCTCACCGTGTCTTGGCTTAGTTTTCAAAACGGAGATTAAAGTAAAGATTAACTTTACTCAGGGGATTGAAGATTCAATGAAAGAATTGTCTATGTGTGCACACAGTTAGGCGTCAGCCAGTGTCAGAACATGTCCTTCCCTGGATAACACAGCTACTAAGTGGAGGAGCTGGAATTCGTAGTTGTGCCTGACCCCAAAGCCCAACTACCTTTCCATTGTGTCATGGCTTGTGACCTGGCAGAGAGTTCATTTAATTGGCATACACGTTATAGAAGAGGAAACTGAAGTTTAGACTTTTGAAAGGACTTGCCTTAAGGGAACACGGATTAGGGCAAATGGCAGAATCAAAATTAGCTTTTCTGAGGGCTTCTGTTTAGTGGGGATAATAGTAATGACGACCTCAGAAAGGGTTTGAGTTGAAAGTGATTTTTAAACTACACAAAGCGGCCAGGCTCATGCATGTAATCCCAGCATTTTGGGAGGCCGAGGCAGGTGGGTCATCTGAGGTCGGGAGTTCGAGACCAGCCTGGGCAACATGGTGAAACCTTGTCTCTACTAAAAATACAAAAATTAGCCATGCATGGTAGCACACGCCTGTAATCCCAGCTACTGTGGGAGACTGAGACAGGAGAATCGCTGTCTACAAATCGCCGGGAGGCAGAGGTTGCAGTGAGCCGAGATCATGCCACTGCACTCCAGCCTTGGTGACAGAGCGAGACTCTGTCTCAAAAAAATAAGTAAGAGCCGGGCGCGGTGGCTCAAGCCTGTAATCCCAGCACTTTGGGAGGCCGAGACGGGCGGATCACGAGGTCAGGAGATCGAGACCATCCTGG